ATTTTAGATAGTCAAACAAGTCACTTTCAAAGTTACCTCAGGTCACTTTTCTTCTATAAACTTTTATTACTTCATACTACAGTAATTCAATTTTACTATACACTTTTACTTTGACACCATAAAATATTTAGATTATACAGTATTAGTAATCTATTATAATATAAATATTATATGGCTAGTAATAGTAATCTATTATAATCTAAATATTATATGGCTAGGCTAGAGGGGTTTAGGCTCTGCAATAAGTAGACATCTTGAGGATTTGAGGGCGGAAGAGTGTTAGTGTATATTCTCAAAGACGGGGCTGCCACATGTACAACACTAAATTATACACTACTATAAGTATATGATATACATATAACAGTCGTGATGGCCTATAAAAGTATAGCAGTCACGGGGAACTGTCATCTAATGAGGATGGTGGATGGATGGATAGGGTCAACTCTCAGAGTGTAATGGACTATGAATGGTCGTGATGGCCTGTCAAAGTTTATCATCACGGGGAACTGTCATCTAATGTGGATGGTGGATGGATAGGGTCAACTGTCAGAGTGTAATGGATTTTGGGTGGTCTGTCAAAGTTTATTAGTCACGGGGAACTATGTAATCTAATGTGGATGGTGGATGAATAGAATAGAGTCAACTGTCAGAGTTTAATGGATTTTGGCTGGTCGTGATAGCCTGTAAATTTTATCATCACCGGGAACTGTCATCTATTGTGGATGATGGATGGATAGGGTCAACTGTCAGAGTTAAGGATTGTAGCTGGTTGTATGGTGACTGTCAAAGTTTATCATCACGGGGAACTGTCATCTAATGTGGATGGTGGATGGATTGGGTCAACTGTCAGAGTTAAGGATTGTAGCTGGTTGTATGGTGACTGTCAAAGTTTATCATCACGGGGAACTGTCATCTAATGTGGATGGTGGATGGATTGGGTCAACTGTCAGAGTTAAGGATTGTAGCTGGTTGTATGGAGACTGTCAAAGTCTATCATCACGGGGAACTGTCATCTATTGTGGATGGTGGATGGATAGGGTCAACTGTCAGAGTTAAGGATTGTAGCTGGTTGTATGGTGACTGTCAAAGTTTATCATCACGGGGAACTGTCATCTATTGTGGATGGTGGATGGATAGGGTCAACTGTCAGAGTGTAATGGACTATGAATGGTCGTGGTGGTCTGTCAAAGTTTATCATCACGGGGAACTGTCATCTAATGTGGATGGTGGATGGATTGGGTCAACTGTCAGAGTTAAGGATTGTAGCTGGTTGTATGGTGACTGTCAAAGCTTATCATCACGGGGAACTGTCATCTATTGTGGATGGTGGGTGGATAGGGTCAACTGTCAGAGTGTAATGGACTATGAATGGTCGTGGTGGTCTGTCAAAGTTTATCATCACGGGGAACTGTCATCTAATGTGGATGGTGGATGGATTGGGTCAACTGTCAGAGTTAAGGATTGTAGCTGGTTGTATGGTGAGTGTCAAAGTTTATCATCACGGGGAACTGTCATCTAATGTGGATGGTGGATGGATTGGGTCAACTGTCAGAGTTAAGGATTGTAGCTGGTTGTATGGTGACTGTCAAAGTTTATCATCACGGGGAACTGTCATCTAATGTGGATGGTGGATGGATTGGGTCAGCTGTCAGAGTTAAGGATTGTAGCTGGTTGTATGGTGACTGTCAAAGTTTATCATCACGGGGAACTGTCATCTATTGTGGATGGTGGATGGATTGGGTCAACTGTCAGAGTGTAATGGATTTTGGCTGGTCCGTGGTGGCCTGGCAAAGTTTATCATCACGGGGAACTGTCATCTATTGTGGATGGTGGATGGATAGGGTCAACTGTCAGAGTGTAATGGATTTTGGCTGGTCCGTGGTGGCCTGGCAAAGTTTATCATCACGGTGAACCGTCATCTTATGTGGATGGTGGATGGAAGGACGCGGTGGTGTTAGTTATCTGGTCGGTCGTTAGATGGCGCGGCTGAACGCTGAGGAATGCGCGGAGAAACTCCAAGGCCGAAGGACATGATCAGGCATCCTGCCATCCTACCCGGCGCGCCACGAAATCCCTCAAACTCCGCGGCTTTATTGAGCGGAAGTCTGTATGATGCGTAGGTATTTTGTCTTTTTATTTGATTTAATATTTTATATTACAACTACTCTTTTTATTAGAGTGGAACACACTCTTGTACGTAAAAAACACAAATGAATTGTAATTAATTTGAATTGAAAATTCTAGTATAACTACGAATTGATTAGGTATGATTATGCTAGGTATTTGTCATGATAAATAGAAGAATATACTAGAATAGAATAGAATAAATTTATAGCCGAAAACATTATCAAAATGTACAGACTAATGTCAATGTAAAAATATATAACAAATATATAATTGTTTAGAAAAAGTCTGTGGATATTTCTTTCTTCTTAGGCTAAAACTAACCAATACTGATAGTACCGTAGCTATCAAAAATAATTTGTTAAGTTTTCTTAATCAATAATGATATCACAGAAAGTCAACAGTTAAACAATAAAATAGAGAACAAAATCACTAAAAAGTTTGATTAGTTTGTTGTTTAGGGATACTAATGGCACGCTTGCGTCAACTACTGCCAATGCAGATCCTTGTTCCGCGCGACTTTATGGAGAGCGAAAAATTATCCCGGACTTTATGGAGAGTGAATAATTATCCCGGACTTTATGGAGAGCAAAAAATTATCCCGGACTTTATGGAGAGTGAAAAATTATCCCGGACTTTATGGAGAGCGAAAAATTATCCCGGACTTTATGGAGAGTGAAAAATTATCCCGGACTCTATGGAGAGCGAATAATTATCCCGGACTTTATGGAGAGCGAATAATTATACCGGACTTTATGGAGAGCGAAAAATTATCCCGGACTTTATGAAGAGTGAAAAATTATCCCGGACTTTATGGAGAGCGAATAATTATCCCGGAATTTATGGAGAGCGATATCCCGGACTTTATGGAGAGCGAATAATCATCCCGGACTTTATGGAGAGCGAATAATTATCCCAGACTTAATGGAGAGCGAATAATTGTCCCGGACTTTATGGAGAGCGAAAAATTATCCCGGACTTTATGGAGAGTGAAAAATTATCCCGGACTTTATGGAGAGCGAATAATTATCCCGGACTTTATCGAGAGCGATATCCCGGGCTTTATGGAGAGCGAATAATCATCCCGGACTTTATGGAGAGCGAATAATTATCCCGGACTTTATGGAGAGCGAATAACTTCTTTTATTTATATTATTTTTAGTCACTCCGTTATTTTGTTGATAGTAATTGTTATTGGTGTACCTATTCAATTAAATACGCAACCGATTTTTAGAAAATCTCACAGGGCAAATCAAAAATGTCACACGAAAATTGAAGCCGCTCAACTTTTAACATAATAAATTAAATATCCCAACTTTTATGGTGTAGGCCCTAAGGTTATGAAAATTGTCCAAAATATGAAATAGGACAGTACTACATAAAACCCAAATGAACTTGATATATTTTGTTTATACTACTGTAAACACATTACACATTTAAATCAACACTTGGAACATATAGGCCTATATAAAATATATGTAAAGCAATAATGAAGTTGTTGTTTCTTTTCCTAGAAATTTATAATACAAAACGGAAAACCTTTATAATTTTCTATGTTGAAAAAGCTCTTCATCGGAATAACATTTAATTATGCAACGTATAACTTTTAGCACATTTTATTATCTTTGTAACCAATAGAATCAGAAAATAAATGTACTTTCAAGTTTTTTCTTTCCCTTTGAAGCCAAATGTAGGCCTAAGCAATTTTGTCATAAAATGTTGATCATGCAAAAATATATGTTGTAGTGCACAAACTGCGTTTCCTATTAGAGGGCGAATCTAGATTTGATCTGGTTTATGAATTGAATTGACTAGATCGTTGTTTTGTTTGTTCCAAATATTGAAAATGGCATGAAATTGGCATGTGTATGAAAAAGAAAAATGTTTAAATTTTTTCAGGATTTATCCTCTAAGCTTTGGCTCTGGATGTTTTTCATTGTCGCTTCTATATTATTCTTATGGATACAGTTAATATTATAATTGCCAAATAATTTATATATAAACCACGTTTGAAAATGTTTTGTCGGTGCTTTATTAAAATGGTGGTATTTTAGAGTTAATATACCTATTGTATGTATATAGCAAAATCTATAGAAACAAATTATTCTTTTTTAACGTTCTCTTCCCATTGCGAAGTATGGCGGCTAGTAGGCCTAGTTGATAAAATAATAACAAAATAGGTTAACAATGAGTTTTTATGGAACGCGATTATTTTATATAAGCGCTCTCTTCTGCAACATAAACGATTTTACTTCTAAGTTACAATAACTGACACCGACACCTCTAAATCCAAAAGGTGTCAACCTGTACTTCTATTTCGTAAGCACGGACGTGGATTATTAGAGGTCATAAGATGCTGAATCTATTAGATTGCAATCTCCCCGTCAGGAATGTACCTTCCGCTCTCTTTCCTCTTCCAAAATTACTATTTCGGAATGCGGCCGGGAATGTACCTCTAGACCACTCTCTATATTTCTTGCCCACCACATCATAACCATTCATGACTGGCGCCGAGGAAATCCCGCAGTCGAAATTCTTCAAGCCGCTCTTTACGAATCAATAAGGCCGAAAAAATGCTGCCTTTGGAGATTCGGTGCGATCGTCGTGTGACGCGTTGAGACTATCGGTCTGGTTTTTGCTCGTACTTCTGGAATGTCACGTTGAATGATTAAATGTAGTGGGGAAGAGGTATGTTATGCGAGTGGACCTGGAACGAGGCTAGAGGACGAATACGGCCGACGCGCTACTTGTGGAATGTAGCCTCGCCTCCAGGTCCGTTCAGGAATGCAGCCGGTTAACTCCGTTGTCCCCCACCGCAGCGCTAGCGTCGTGCGGCGCACGGTAGCACAAGCACAGTCAAACCTCAAACCAAACGCGCTGTGCCGGGAGAAGGAAACGGCTGTGATTTCTGCAGTGAAAAATGCGGTTGTTTCGGTCCTGAAGTGTTTCGTCCGTCAAAGTGTTGTGGATCCCTAACCTTACAGTGCTAGATCAGCAGATAGGAGAGAGAAAGAGTGCTAAGTGTTTGTAACCCGGATTTGTGCAGTGATATTGTTATGGAGTGTTTTTTACTGATAAGGCCGAGTGTTTTGTAATTAGTGTTGTGCCATTTTGGATTACCTGTGATACTTATACAGCATGCAGTTCGGACTGACGCGATTCTACTCTTAGGATTGACATAAAGGTGAGCGAATATATTTTGTTTCCAGATTTTTAATGAAAATCGCCGAGCACATAAAGATCTATGTCACCAAAGTTTGATCATTGACTACGTGTCGGATGTTTAAATGTAAAACCATGGATTGAAGGAGTCTTAATCTATGGTTAAAACGCCGATTAGCTCTATTCTGAAAGTGTTACATTGTTTACTGTTGGTTCGTAACTTCTAGGAATGCTGTATCAACATGTTTTATTGCATGCCTCGTCGCTCTAACACGCTGACTTGATTGGTTATCTTTCAACGACGCTTGTTGTCACAACTTTGGCATTTTTGGTGTGGCTGTTATCTATCATTTGCAACAACATGACGTGTTGATTGGGGTGTGTTGATTACACCGATGTCATTCGAATGTTGAAGTACCGGTATGGTTATTCTTATTAACTAAACTAAGTTAATTTTACTTACTGTAGTTGTTTTAAGCTACTGACTTATATTTTTACAACACGAACACGTCTATAGTTATACGAAAATGGGCATTCCGTTCAGGTTTCAGTGTTGAGGGCGTATTCCGTGACGAATGAAACAACCAGTGTCCCAGTGTAATCTTCTGAATTTCAAGCAAATTTCTATGTCTGAGATTGATTGATTGTAGGGGCCTATTCAATTTTTGATATGGTTACTAACTTAACTGTCACGGAATTTAAGTAGGGATACATTAAAATTCACTAGTTGAAATGCTGTGTTGTTCTGCGATGAGACAAGTCAGGAAATGTTTGACTAAAGAGAAAGTTCCTGTATTTAAAGAAGACTTTTTAGAGCAAGGTTTTGTTACGGAAAGATTTTGTTTTCCTAAGGAAATTAACGACAAAGGGGAAGGAAAGAGCGGATATGAGTTTCTAGGCGTGAGTCATAGAATATTGACCAAACTGTGTGATACCAGTACATTGACACAAACACACTTTATACACCAACGACCAACAACTCATTTAGCGATAATGTCTGAGCAGCTTAGACATTTTCTTCGTTGAAAATAGACCTGTCAAGTCAAACCAACAGGTAAAGAATCCTGTTATTAATGTGTTACATGTGTTAGTGACGTGTTTTTGTCAGCTAGTTGTTGACTAAATGTTTCTTTCTTATTTTTGCACACATTTTACGATTGGTCTTAACACTCATTTACAGTAGGTGGGCCTAAAAAAACAGTGGTAGGCTACCACCGGAGTTAAAGGCGGCCGTGGTAATAACTGATGACATGCAATTAGTACAAAATGTTTAAGTATAAGATACAACAATTACAAATACATATGCCTATTACAAATATACAAAACAAATACCAGTGAACAACAAATACGCCCACATAAACCGGAGAGAGATAACCTTAAAATTGTTTTCAGCTCAATAAGGACAAGTCAATGAAGGAATATGTTTAATCTAAGGCTTAGATTACAGAATGCAAGGCGGCCAAGATAGGAATACTGATCATAAACAATTTACTCCCGACAGTTTGCCGGGAAAAACAGCAATCTATAGTTAATGGCGTTCAGGTAGAAACTTGTTTAATTAACAGGAAATATTTTAATCAGCGCAACCTTTAGAAGGATCGCTTGTCGCATATGCGGTAGAATGTCGTCGATGTCTTACGTATCATTAAACCTATGCGGCATTTGACATTTTGATTACTGCAGAGATCTTGTAATTAATACTGCGTGCTACGACCTATTACTGCAACTAGGTATGTTTTTTTTAAGTTAGCGGGCAAACGACTTCCAGCTTGTTTTCAATTTTCCTAATGTAAATAAGCAGCTAGCTGTATAGTAAGTGATTCAATCATCTGATTATACTATCGATAAGTCGACATATTGAAAATAATGTACTAAAACTCTAAAACCTATTCTAATAAATCAATCAATAAATAATTTTGATCCATGTGATTACCGGTACTTACAATGGACATTCACTACTGTTTACAACAGCTTTTACTCCCTAGGGACTAAAAAGGCTGTTTACTCCATAGTGCAAATGCTACCTACTTTTACTAGCAATCTCATGTATTAAAACGGTTGTTTATGTTAGTATACAAGCGTCTTTGAGGTAAATCTTAGCCACATGCCGATGAGATTCCAGCTCACAATCCTGTTGGGAACATTTAAACTCTCTAGACTTCGTTTGGAAAAACTGTGTGTTTTTATCATAATTCGAATACCTAAAAATGTTAGTGTAGGTAATCAAAGTTTTACTGTGATATTGTAACCGACCATGAGAAAAGTCAGTATTTTTATGGATCGAAACTTGGCTCAGCTGGGGGGATTTAGCTAACTCAAAATTAGCATTGTGTATGCTAAAGCAGCGTTAATAGGATTTTAAACCAATCAGCAAACAACATTTGTAAATTCTCTACACTCCTACATTCCAGGGAAGTCCTGTAGTTTTTCTCCGTGTTTCCTCGCGCGGTTTCGTGAATGGCCCAGTTTTCCCGGGAATTAGTTTTCCGAACGCGTGGGAGGGAGGGACAGTGTCAGTCGACCTAACTGTTTCTCTCTGTCCTTCAGCATGGACTATTTGTGAATGGCACGTTCCTCATTCTGAATGCTTTCTGCCATCGCTGGCAAGGATTTGTTCTGTCTTATTTTTTCGGAGACAAGACAACACTAGCACCGTTATAATAACTTAGAACAGTTTTGTGTTAAGCACTCTGTTTGGAATGATTTTATTTGTTGTTTTTTTTGTGACGTGTGTAGTTATTGTATTTGCTTTCAATGTTGATTGCATGATATATTATGATTTTTTGAAAATTCCTCTCGCTGCCCACTCCCTCATATTCTTCGAATTCCAACACCAACGGATTTTGTGATTTGTGATTGTCTCTGAACTAGGTTTGAAGGTTCACTCTTTTGGGTTTCCCGATTTACTTATACTATCTTTGGGGGTTTTATACGTATAAAAAAGGTTGCAAAACCTCCTACAACGATCATAAAAATAATTTTTACTGAAATGTAACCTATATCTTCAAGCTGTGCTGTAGCTTATCCCGCATCACGGTATACGAGACTGACAGGAAACCTAATCACGCTCTGCAGACGTTGACACGTGATTTATAAACCCAAACAGTTTTATTTGTATTGCTAAAGATACGTCTTATGAGAATAGTTCGAAATTAGGCAAAACTTGTCGTGATCATTATGCTTTGATTAATGTCCCAGGTTAAATAAACATTCTTATCTAATATATATATGAGGTTACATTACCTTAATCGCCAAGTGATCCATGTAGTCCAAAATCTAGGATTACGTACGTTTCGACGTCAATGCGTCATTGTCAAATCTACAAAAACTGGTCTAATTCTTATCTAATTTAAAATTATTTCTTGTAATAGCTGTCTAGTATGAGCTTTCCAGTAGCGTACACTTTTGCAATGTGCACGCCTATGCTGATGACTGTCAGTTGCATTTATCCTATGATGTCAATTCAATTGACCAGGCTGTTGCGAGGGTAAACTCAGATTTGGCGAACGTCAGTGAGTGGTCAATGAGCAATGGTCTCAAGTTAAATGGAGAAAAATGCACAGTTCTCCACATTGCTCCACCCAATGTTGTCCAAAGGATAATTGATGGAGACGTGCAGGCTTGATCAGAGGGATTTGAAGGTGTGCCACACTGCTAAGACTTTGGGTGTGATACTGGACAGTGGTCTTACTTTTTCTGATCACATCACTCATGTTTCCCAGCTGGCGTTGGGTAGACTGCGGGGTCTGTACAAATGCCGAACCATCCTACCTGTGTCAGCTAAGATTCAGTTGATTCAATCCATTGTATTGTCAGTGCTGTACTATTGTTTTCCTGCATACGGCAATAGTATCACAAAGGAGGACATGGGCAGGCTCCAAAGACTGCAGAACACTGCAGTGAGATTTGTATATGGTCTTCGGAAACGAGACCATATTTCTCAATTTGAAAGAACTGCTGGCTTCTTGTCTTCAACTGCGGTGTGCAGGAGGCAAACCTGCACTCTGGTACACAGGGTACTGGCCGAAGAGGAACCAGCGTACCTAATTGAAAGACTGGTCACCCGCGATCGGGTGTCTCAGCGCAATACCCGACAAGACAAAAAGCTTAATTTCCCGAAGGTGAGGTTGAAATTAGGATGAAAGAGAGGTTTTTCGTACTTTAGGCCTAAAATGTACAATGACCTCCCCTGTGACCTGAAGATGCTGGGTGTGCCAGCTTTTAGATCTAGGTTAAAGAAAATGTATTTTTGTAAATAGCTAAAATCTTGTAAATAGGGGGATCAGTATTTTGTTTTGTCTTTAGTTTTAAGTTAGGATTAGTTAATTGACTAGAGTCGTCCTGTAAAACAGTTTGTAGGCCTACTGAGGAGCGCTTGCTAATAATAAAAGGCATTTTTATTTATTATTTATTTTTTTGTGGTATCACGTTATGCTACACGCAGAAGGGTCAATACCAAGTTATGCCACAACATATTAACAGCTACGCGCATTCTACACCGACGAACGCGGCATTGCGTGCGTGTGTGTGTGTATTGAATTGTTGTGACAGTGTGTGCGCATTCCTGCCTCATCTCTCGCACGCGCGTCACGGCTATACTCGAATTATTATAACTTGGTGCCTGTTCTTATCCGCTTGCGAGTGGTGACTACGGCTAATTTAACACAATTACATCGAACAACGGGGATATGGAAGTATTATGTCATGTGGGGGGATTGAATTGTGAATTACTTTTGTTCGTGTATTGTGTCACCTCGGATTCTATCGATAAATCATTGTTATACTGGCACTAACCATTATTTATCCTTTTGGCCCTAAACAATTTTGTTTTATTGGGAGTTCTGACTGTTGAAGTGCTTGCTGGGACAGGCGATTAGACCTGAAAGGCCAATTTTTTACCGTCTATGGATAATAGTATATTAGGCCTATTTATCACCGCGCAAAACATTCACGAAACTGCAAAACTAGTTAAAATGATATTACACGTTTGTTTGAAGTGTGTTACGCTATATATTCTGCCAC